ACACTCAAACACGAGTCGAATACATTGGTTGCCTAAGACAAGGCATCTCTTCAAAAAACATTTTCAAAACACACACACACACACCACAATTTCAAAGCAATCGAAAATCAAGGCAAGTGATCTAAAAACCAAGTAACTAAGAGCCCATGGATAACCATGGATGAAAAGGGTGCTAATACCTTCCCTTTTCATAATCTACCCCCCGAACCCATGAAATATCTCAAAAGGTTTTTTGCTGTGCTTTTTAACCTTTCCTTTAGGATAAAATAAAAAGTCGGTGACGACTCTTGCTCAACCGAACAAGTGCGAATACAAACGCAAACCTCTAGTCAGTTCTCCCACCGTATCACAGTCAGCCTTGGTGTATTCCCAAGATCGACAGATACTCGATGCTACACTCATTGAGGTTTGACTCTTGAGCTTTATTTGGTTTTGATTCAATCGCCTATTGAATGAAGCTAGGAGAAGGATCAGTGATATTGAGATCCCTTTTAGAACCCGATTACTATTTATAGGACAAGTTGTACCAATCCAACTTCAAGAGGGTATGACCTTAAAACTCATGCAATCCTTAAACCTAAGGACTTGGTGTGACTTGTTTGTTGTTTGCTATACCTGTGATTTTCTAACCTAATCATGACATCATAAGCATGGAATATCATGACTAACCATTTCAAGGATTCTCTAGGGCTCATTTTTGCTCTGTTTTGTAGGACATGGCATCTGCCCGTAGGAACACTATACAGATCAACCTTGTGAAAGTGTCTCTCCAACTAAAGGATCTGGCATTAAGGGTTCTTGAAGGTTCTTATTTCACTAGAAAGCATGGTCAGTTGCTCAATTTGGTCATTGCAATACCTGATGAAGACTTGTTAAAAGTGTTGTTTCAGTTCTTTGATCTGGTGCACCATTGTTTCACCTTCCCGGATTACTAGCTAGTACCTACTATGGAGGAATTTTCTTAGTTATTGGGGGTACCTATTCTTGATTAGTTACCTTTCAATGGTACGGAAGAACATCCAAAGCCTGAAGAAATTGCTAGAGCCCTGTCCTTACAACGATCTGACATAGTGACAAATTGGGAGACTATAGGGAATGTCCAAGGAATTCCAGTTAAGTTTCTATTCGAGAAAGCTTACCATTTTTGGGATACCTTAGATTTACAAGCTTTCGAAGAGGTGCTGGCACTTCTCATTTACGAAACAATACTTTTCCCTAATGCGGATCAACTCGTTGATGTGAGCACTATTAAGGTTTTTCTGTCTCATAATCCAGTGCCTACATTACTAGGAGATATTCTACACTCTCTGCATGCTTGCACTCTAAAGAGAAGGGGGACCCTCCTGTGCTGCACTCCTCTATTGGCTAGGTGGTTTATTTCGCACCTACCCAGGTCTGTTTTGAAGAATGAGCAGGGTTTGAAATGGTCTCATAGGCTGATGTCCCTCAAGCATTCATACATTCATTGGTGTTCGCGGTTCTTGGAAGATATTACCATCATTGATCGTTGTGGTTAATTCCCTAATGTCCCTCTCTTAGGAATTAGGGGAGGAATCAGTTACAACCCTTGTTTGGCACTACGTCACTTTGGTTATGCGAGAAGAGATGGTACTCACGACACGCTTATCCAAGGAATCGCCTTTAATCATGAGAACGATGCTCAGGGGTACCGTAAAAGGTTCATGAAATCTTGGGGCATGGTGCATAAAATTGATATCAAGATGCTAGGGCACAAGAATTCCATTCCGCTTGAGCCTTATCTCCGGTGGGTACGAACTCGCGCCTAATGTCTCATGATGCCTTACCCTGTTGTCCCACTGGTAACTCTTGAGCCAACAATTGAAGGAGATACTCCTTCACTTGGTCATCATCCTGACATGCTAACCGATCATGAAGAGTTACAGAAATCTTGGGTTCAACTCAAAGAGGAGCGGGACATGTTTGAAGCTCAGTTCTATGCTAGCGAGAAGAAGGTCCTGGAGCTCATTAGGCTACTTCATGAATAAAGGAACATAAATGCCTACATTGCACCAAAAGGGATGCGCTCCTGGGAGACCTAGTTTCTTTTTTGCTTTAAGTTTTGTTTTGTTTAATTGTAAGCCTAAAAGGCATTCTTTGTAACAATTCGAACTTATTAATGAAATTAATGTGTGTTTCTTTTGGTTAAACAAATCTGAGCCTTTAAGAATCCTTGAAATCATTGCATACACATCCCATCCATAGCATTGCATAAACAGGTACCATTACAGGTTTCTCATCTTCTTCACTGTTCACACGCAGAAATATCTTCTGAACAAAGCATCAAGGATCTTCAGGCACAAAATGCCTAATTCCAACAAATGTTCATAAATCTGGCGAAAGGGCAGGAGGATCTGAAAGCCCTGATCCTGAAGGAGAAAAAGAAAAAGAAGAAGGTCGCTGGTATTCTGAATATGGGCAGAAGGTTCAGGGGGCCGTTAAAGCAGCAAGTCGATCTGACCTCTTCATCCAAGGAGGGGGAAAATCAAGAAGAAGAGACAAGGGAAAAGGACCCCAGTCCTGAAGTTTCTGACAATGATACAGATTATAATGATGAGAAAGATCCTCCTATTGAGGATAGATACAAGCAGTTGGTGTTGCACCCCAAAATTTGCCCTCCTAATTTCTTTTATTTTGGCTTAGACTTTTGCATTCATCTGCATCTATTCCATTAGGTCACTAACAGGGCATAAATTTCACTCAATATAGCTCTGAGGTTCAAAATTCAGTGGTTGTGTGATATTACGGTTTCGCAATGGTCAAGGCGTTCATATCCAATAAAGACTGATTTCTTATTCAGGTAGTGAGCAGTGGAATTAGGGTTGTGACTTGGGTCGTTGAGGATTTCTTTCTGCATCAAGCCGCGAGGCTATCAGGGTTTATTTCCCCATATGTGTTCAAAGCCAGGTTTTTGGCAATTGTGTTCCAATCGAGTTTTTCATCAAAGATCATGAGATTAAGGTTTGTTCTTATCAAGGGACTTTCTCAGAATGCCTTATATTGTGCGTCGGGAATTATCATCTTCAAGGGAATTTATTAAGGGTTTTAGCCTTACGTTTTCAAGTGGACATGTTTGTGACTTGAATTCCAAAAGTTGAAGCACAATACAAAATATGATGCTAGAGAGCATTAATTGAGTCAGGCGAACATGAATAAAGGCTTTGATTTTGGGAAATTGCAATATGGAGAGGTTGTTGTCTGGACTGAGTTCATGCATGAATATTATTGATTCGATTGAATGTTATGACATGTCTTGAGTTTAGGACTAGTTCACTGAATATGCAAGTTGGTTGGAATTCGTTCACCGAGTCATGAAGTGAAGTGCTTAAAGGATAATCAAATGGTACTAAAGAAGTCTAAGCATTGGTTTATTTTCGAGAATTCGATTCAAGCGAGTTTGGAGACCTTAATCATAAGGGTTTCTTGGAATGTAAAAAGATGAGATACAAATGGCAAGGCATAGTCATTCATTATAATTCCATTCAAGTGGTTATTTTGATTCAAGTTGTTATTTCCAAGATTATTCCACATCATTGTTCATCCCAAGGGCTCATATGTGTTACGAATTCCATTGGCAAATAATAAAGAAGCATAACTCAAAGTATCGGTTTATAACTCCCTTATGGCCGATTCAAGCATATAGATTGGAAAGCCCATTTATATGGATATGTTCTACTAGCAAGACGTTCAAGTGGATCAATATTTTTGCAAGATTTATCCATAATGCAAAATCTCATTCAAGATTCAGTCGAGGTAAACCAAGGAATTTTGAAATAAAAGGCTAAGAAATTTTTGGGCGCATTGATATGGCCATATTGCGCAAAGTTTGTATTTGATGATTGAGTCAAGTCTACATAGCATTATGTTTATCTTGGTTAAAGGTTCGAGTTTCGACTATTCAAAAACCATTACAAAGATTTCAATGGCCATTACAAGTTATGTCCAAATATCCATTCAAGCTTCAAAGTTCACATTTAAAGTTCATAAGGATGGCATACAAAGTACAATCACATCATTACAAAAACAATTACACAGAACATTTTCATTCAAAAGTTAATTCATGCGAAACTCCAAATTCTAGCAAAAGGCTTCGAGCATATCATGTATAAGGCTATAAACTCGTTGCTACTATGCTGAGCCATCAAACAAATATGTGCAGCCATTGGCATATGCAGTACACAAGTTTCTATAGGCATACCTGCAAACATCAAATATATTCATTAAATTGGGATTCCCAAACCTGCATTCAACAAAGAAAAGAAATGACCAGTTCAGTATTCGTTCAGCTCTGTACCGAGACCTTCCAACGTATGTTCATGCAATAAAATTCAGAAGAAGGTTTATCAGTTCATAAATCAGAGCAGAAACAAAGAATCTCTTAGCAGGTCAGGTTCTTTGGAGGATAATCAGAAACAGTTTTTAACAAACCAAATAGAATACCCAACTAACTTTCTCACCCATGAAAGAATGCTAACAGTTTTCTAACTGCCTCTACAAACCCCTAATTGTCTATAACAAACTCTAAAACAACCCCTAGCAACCTGAAACCAGTTATAACCAAACAAATAGAATTTCCAAATCCCATCTTCTAACCAACTCTGCAAAAAAATCTATATAACAGAATTAGCAAAACTCAGAGAGGAGGAGGATATCATCATTTTAGTCTCAGATCCACAATTTTTTATTCACAAAAAAATCACAGAGAAGAAAACAAGAGGAAACTCACCTTGAAGTTATTCATTCTTCAATCTGATGAGTGGAATCAGAACAAAAATCATAAATTCTCTCTTCATTCTCTTTCTCTGTACAGAACTCTTCACAATATTCTCCATCAACTCAAAGTTCATCATCATCATCTTCTGTAAATAAGCTTCTTCTACAGCTGCTCATCTTTGTACAGCTCCAATCTCTGCACGATTCAGGCTACCGAATCTGCTTCAATAGCAACATCACAAATCGACAATAACAAACACCACGCCGAATCACACGAAATCGCAACAACACAGAAATGGAGTAGAAGAAGAAGAGTGAATCTGATTATAATCATACCTGGAGTAAGAATTATTCAGTGTTCTATCTTTGTTCGTTATTGTCGAAGACGCACTATACATTCTTCTACCGGTAAATCTTCGATCTCTTGCAACCTTGTTCTGCCAAAGCTTATGCAAGAACCTTGAAGACACAATGGAATCATGTTTCATCGAAGCTTTGTCGCCATTTGAATCTAAAAAAGAAGCAGATGCAATATTTTAGGCGCATGAAGATGAGAAGAGAAACACGATGAGGTTCGAGAGTTGACGATGATCGTAAGGAAAACGGAGGCGACACAGTGTTGAGGTCGTTGGAGACGAAAGTCTTGAGAGAAGATCTCTCTGAATAGAGTTTTGATTGACGATTAACTAAAGCATGAGCGAGACGGCGGTGAACATTGAAGATCGGTGGATTTTGTGAGGCGAATCGGGACGGAGTGAGACGGAGCTTTTGCGGCTGCTGAAGAAGGTCGAAACAGAAGTGATGGTGATCACTTGGTTTAGCGGCGTTTCATCTGAGATGGAGGTAAGTCGAGTCCGACTGGAGAAGGACATCGTCCGTTGTTCAATCGGAGGCGGACTTTACCGGAGACGGAGACAGATGCGAAGGGAGTGAGACGGAGAAACGTGAGGCGAGGGTGACGGTGGAAGTCGGTCAATGTAGACGGAGATTTCGGCCGTCGCGTGTTTGAAGGGAGAAGAGAATGGAGATGAAGAGTCACTCAACTTAACCCTAATCCTCTTTCCATTTTCGTTTTTACATTTTTATTTTATTTTTTTATTTTTATTTTTGTTAAATTCATGGACCATATGTTGTTTGTATAAAACAAAAAATGTTGAATACAAAATAAATCTGGTTTGGTGCTTGTTGGGTTGGACCCAATTGCATTAGGCCCACTTGGTTGCCTTGGACAAAAACAGTTTACTGGATTTAACTTGATGGGCCTACTGCCCAGATTACTTTCACACTCCCAGATTGCTGCAATGCACCATCTGATTCCTCACTTCTCTATTTTGTAATCAATTTTTAGATTTTTGCTAATATTTTTTCTTTTCCTGAAATTTAGTTAACAAAAATAATGAAGACAATAAAATTTGTTAATTGTTTTTTTTAGGGAATATATTAGTATTTTTCTCGGATTTATTTTCAGAATTTTTGTTAGAATTCTCTATCATTGTTTATGTTTAGTAATCATTTTATTACTTGAAATTTATAATTCATCTTGGCTTGTTGAGATCTGGAATCCTATGCAGGTTTATTGTATGATATGCAAATGCGCTTGAGATTTCGATTGTGATTTATTTTCATATCGATGATGCGTCGACATTTATTCCGAGCATTTGATTTCTGATTCTTTTCTTTGATTGGTGAAGCTTTTCGCGAATATCGTCGGGTTTCTTTGTTTCGATAGGCTTTGATACGGACTGATATCCGTTCGGTATTTTCCCTTGTTTATCTCATTCCAGTACTTTATTGTTTTTTTAGATATCATGAGAAGTAGGAAATAAAGAGCGTGCGCTCGAAGTCGCTGTTTAAAGACCTGTAGCAGGCATTCCGCACTGCATTTTCCATATGTGTTGTGCTTGTGTTTGTTTACTTTCTTGTTGATCGATGAGTCACCCAATTTAAAAATTGAGATCACGACTTCGCTCTCAGTGCAAGCTCCCTATAGGATTTCATTGCTTTCTTTATTTCCTGTTGATCGATGAGTCACTCAATTTAGTAATTGAGATCACGAATTCGCTCTCATTGCATGTTCCCTATAGAATAGTTTGTTAGACTTTATTAGGTAATGGTAGCTTAGATAGATTCTCTCTAGTTGTGCTCGCTTGAGCTAACTCTCTTGAGCTTATTGGCTTACCTGTTTGATTCCATCTTTGTGTACATAGTTTTAGGTGATAGACCCTTGCTATGCCCCTTTAGGACTTCTTGATTCATCTATAGATGATGATTTGAGATAGACATTAGGGTTGTTATCCAAGCATGTCAACATAGGGTAGATATTTCTCTTTAAAACTCAACCTTAGGATTAATCATTGTACGATAACATTAGGGATAGATCTAGGTTAATCTCCCTTAGATGTTTTTTCTTTCTTTTGCATCCATGCATTAAAACAAAAACTTCCTTTTTCTTCGAAAAATATTAAAACATCTAACAACTTCCAAATCCTTCTTCAAGGTAAAAGATATCAACCAATGTAAACTCTTTTGCGCCTTCGGGCTTTTATTTCAAACTTTTCAGAAAGAGCATGTTAGTTCACTTCTGTGCGGACGCGTAAATCTCCAAAGGTCGAGTTGCGGCAGAAGGCGAAATTAATGATGTTCATTAAAAAATACAAACAAACAAAAACATAAGCCGAATTACGGCTGCTCTGATTCCTTAAAAGGGATACATAGGCATTGGGGTAGGGCCCGAGCGAGCACAACTTTTATTTTCCCTACATTTTTCCCCACTTCCTTTTGCATGCATTCTCCCTTCAGTAGTATAGTAAACAATAAGCATAGATTAAACACACCCATAAGATAGATAACATGAGTGGATACCGTAGAGTACTACGGGCGTGTGGGATGCTAATACCTTCCCCTCGCGTAACAGACTCCCTTACTCGATCTCTCGGTCGCAAGACCGTGACTTCTCCCTTCTCAGGTTTTCTCGATGTTTACCTTTCCCTACATGTGGGATAAAAAAATGCTCGATGGCGACTTCATTGATTTCATTATCAGTTGATTGGTCAGCCGGTTATTTCAGCTGGCGACTTCATTGGGGATAGATTGACCTATTGCAGGTCCATCCCGGAGTCGATCCTAGCTCTTGTTTTATTTTGCTTGGGTGTTTATTTTTATGCTTTATAGCTTGTTCATTTTGTACATGTTTATTTGTGCATGTGTTTGCATTGCATTTTATTGCTTTCGATATTGGTGATACTGCTATGTTGGCTCTGTTTTCATGATTGGGTGGGTGTTACTATGAGGTAAAAGGCCCAATACCCAGGCTAGAGTGAACTAGGATACTAGAAATAGAGTGGAACATAAACGGCTAGTTGACTTAGGTCTCACTGTTACTGTCATGTTGTCCATGCTCAGATGAGGTACAAATGAGGGACTATCGTTTTCACGTAGGTGATATGGCGATAGTTTTTCAAGAGTACCCTCGATTATGGGTTACCCGACCTTACCCTGACCTAGTTTTCACCCGTGAGAGGGGAGGGACCTGATTATTACAGGTACAAATGATGACTATGTTCTGATAGTGATTGTTGTTCTGTTGGTGACTATGTAGGTCTCAGATTTATTTTCTGAGTTTCTGGATTCAGAATTCAGGATGGTTCTTTGGTTATGTTCTGGACCTTTGATCCTGATATATTCATCTTGTCCAGAGATTATACAACGATTATTCATGGTACTTGGTTCCATTGTGTTTTGAAATTGGTACCGAACCTTTAACCCTGTGATATTCAAATTATTCAACAGATTTATACGTCAATTATCCAGAGGATTGTACAGTTGTTATGCTGAACTTTTGAACCTATGTCATTGCACCTTGCATCATAGCATGTTTATTTTACACACAAAAAAAAAGTGAAAGATTGTATGTATAAAAAATATATTTGAACATAGCATTGCATCCACTCATTCACCTCGTGTATCTTCGTGCATCTTCATGCGTCCATAGCAGGTACTCAGAAGGTACTCAGAATGGGGAATCCTTATTTGGACTCATTATTTTCTTTTCAGAACTGCCAATCTTGACTTCTCGCCGCTTCGTGATCATATTCAAGTTATGAAACAACTTTGTGGGGAGTTGGATGAGATGAAAAAAATCAGATGGGGCTGTTTATTGGGGGTATGCAAGCAATGGCCTGTAGTCAGAAATCCTCAAGGGGAAAAATAGCCAGTTGAAGACTTAGTTTAGTCAGGTATGGAAGTTTTGAAGACAGTGTCAGCAAAGAAAAGTGATCTTGTATACGTTGTTGCAACATGAGCTGTCATTCATTCCCAGCCTATGGGACATTTTTTCAAATCATGAGATACTTTGTGGGTCTCACCCAGAGCTTCGTGTTCTCGGATTTTCTTGCTAGCAGCTAGTTTCTGGTCTCCAAGTGAACCCATGGGGTAAAACTTACCAACAGAGACAGAAAAAGCTTGAGAAGCAGGTTGATACAATCTCAATGCCTTGTATCCAGTTACTTCCTCGTGTGTTGGAAGCTCAGTTGATTAAGCTTCGTGCTTTGGGTCATCCTCCAACAAATTTCTCCCCTAATTTCGATGCAAATGCTAGATGTGTCTCCCATTCTGGGGCACTTAGTTAGGATATTGAATACTGCAAGGGGTTCAAGTATGAAGTTTGGTACTTGTTTGGCTTCTTTTCCAAGGTTCAGTCCATGTTTGGAAAACCATTTCAGACTCTTTTTCCTCAGCTGGATGCTTCTTATGTGTAAGTATAAGATGGGGTGATGCTTCTGTGATGAAGAAGTATAAGATATCGAGTTCTTGGATATCTGTTGTTGTGTAGAAGAAAAATACCTCAAAGGTAGAATTCTATATTCAGAGTTTAGTTTCTTCTGTGTAGTAGAAGATTCTTTGTTACAGTTTATGAATTTTGCTTCTGTGTAGTAGAAGACGAAGATTTTTTTGTGAATGAGGAGATTCTTCGTAATTCGGTTACTAAAACTTCTCTCTTGTGAAGTAAGAGATTAAGTTTACTTTCTTCTGCATAGTAGAAGACGGAGACTCTTTTGTGAAGTAGGAGATTCTCCGTAATTCGGTTGCTAAAACTTCTCTCTTGTGAAGTAAGAGATAAAGTTTACTTTCTTTTGTGTAGTAGAAGATTCGTTGGTATGGTTGCTGGATGTCGCTTCTATGAAATAGAAGACGTCGCTTCTCTTGTGTAGTAGGAGACGCTCCAGAATTCAGTGGCTGGATTTCTCTTATGTGTAGTAGAAGATGGTTGGCATTTCTTCTCTATGGTATAAGATACTTTGTGATGCAATTTATGCAAGTTTGCTTGATAAAGCCTTCATCACATATAGTGAAGGAATTTGATGTGATTACCATACTGGGGCGTCTGGCCATTCAACTGAAGATTGTAAACCATTCAGAGATGAAGTGTAAGACTTGCTTGATGCAAAGGCTATCAATTTTGAGTCAGACAGTCAGATTTGAGGTCTCC